GTTGAGTGTGTGTGTGTGTGTGTGTGTGTGTGTGTGTGTGTGTGTGTGTGCACGCTATGAGTGTGTGTGACGGTTTTTTTTTTTTTAATCTTCCCAAAATAAACTTTTGGCTGAAATATTCCCAGACAGATGGAAAGAACACTGAACTGCAAAGGTCTGCCTACCCCTGCTTTCTCGTTATTCCTAATTGATTTCTTCAAAGAGCAGGCAGGGAGAAAAAAACATGTAGTTTTACAAGGGTGCACATTCAACACAGAAAGTTCAGGTAAGTCATATACAGATGTACCTCCAAACTCCATGTGTGATAGAATAAAATGTTCGTGATTTATTGGGATTGACGCTGCGCTGCTGTCTCACTATGGAGAACAGATGTTCATTGTGTTTTTATAACTTTTTTTTTTAAACTTCAGGGACAAACAAGGCAAGCAAGCTATAATAGCTACGGGGGGTGGGGGGTCAAATGAATCATGCATGGTTAAAAAAATTAATACTAGTACTACTGTTAGAGGGTTGACAGGTTTTGCAATGATTTAGTAGAAAACAATTCAAAAATTAGTAGAAATGAAAATAAATGTCTTACTTATGACAAAATAATCATTTTTAGAATAATATTTTTGCATGTAACATTATTTAAGCATGAGGATAAGAGGAAAATAATTTGCTTTCATGTTCTTTAAGATTTCTCATTCAAGAAATATGCTCAACTGGGCAAAAGATTTGGGGAGAAAAATCAACTCAATAGACTCTAAGGAACCGGTTTACACCTTTTTACCAATGTTTCTCAGAAAACATTTATAGTTTATTGATAGTTATTTAGTATGTACACTGGGTTTCATTATAATAGATTAGTGAGCTTTTTCAGTATAATTAACATAATCTGAAAGAGAATCCTGAGCTAATACACCTGAGATTTATTCATCTAAGAATTTTATTTTAAAATGAAGTAATGGATTTAAATTTGTTAATCTCCACTTTAAAAATGTAGATACTCTCTTTTAAAAGAAAATAACTACTCCATATGCCCACTTCTATTTGTGGTATTAAGAATTGACTCTCATAACAGAAACCCATTTAAAACAATTTTTTAAGTGCTAAGAAAAAAGAAAACAAGATTTTCATGTTAATTGTCTTCCACTTTTATACTATTTCCTTTTTTTTTAAACTACAAATCTTTTCATGACAGTTTTTTCAAACTACCCAACATTAAGATCTTTAAAAAAGAACGAACTGAGTCATGAGAAGCTAGAAACACTCAAAACAAATAAAAATGTTTTGAATGCCTGTTTCTAACTTGGGGTAAAATTCCTTTCCTGACTCTGGTTTAAAGATTCACAAAGAGCTGGTGGTTAGCCACTGTGCATTATTTTGGTTTTTATTCTTATGATAATTATCATTCTTTTTAATAGACAGGTTCAGGATTACTGGTTGTGAGACCTAGATTCTAAATCCTGCCCTGTGCCTCAGGCCTCCTACAGGCAAATGAACAGCGAAAGGACAGTGGGAACTACAAAATGACTAACATGGGGAAGGTATTATTCACTTATGTTTGTATTATGATCATTATTTTATAATATGCATTTCATCAGGGGGGCTTGTTATATAGCTAAGTTAATAGGTTTACTTAATTTTCATCATGATAGTATACATGCTTTGAGGTACAATGAGCCTAGGAAAAGACGTGCCCGAAGCTAGACTACCTCTGACCTCATGTGATGCTAAAGTTAGATCATGTTATTAAAATAAAGACCACAGCCGAGGGTACACTTGGCCTGCTGTCTGTTAGATAATACTTGTAAATGCTAATGACTCTGCCTTTTAAAAGGAATAGACAACCTCAAGAATACCACTGAGTTAAGTATATCCATCTCCGTATCAGTATCTACTGATCTCTGGGCAAAAGAATTTAGGTCAAACCACCTTCAATATGGGTGCCAGAATTCTTGGAAGGGTTAGTAAGTAAAGGTGTAAACAGCACTTTTTACAAATCTAAGTCAATAGAAAGCACTAAGAAAGAGACATACAGAGATGGGAGACTGAGAGCAGCTTCTGGGCCATCACTAGCGTCCAGGAAGACTCAGAGCAGAGAGAGGCTCACGTGACTGAAGGCTGGCGAGTCCCTGATCCAACCTGAGCACTGCAGGCAAACATCTCCATGGAGCTTATAAACGATATTACAGGTAACCAGCTCTCTTCGCCCTGCACCACAGCTTTTCAGAGGATGGGGAGAATCCGCTCACCACTATCGCGTGAGTGTGTTATACTGTGATCTACAGACTGGGAGCGATGCCGCTCTGAAGAGATACAGGAGGAAACTGAGCTTATAAACCCGATGCTGCCTTCAAAGGTATAAGGCAAAAAGCCTCCTCTAAACATGGAATGAAGGAAGCACTTTAGTCGCGCATAGGCAATCCTCTTGCCTTTTCAAATTATAACATGGTTTCTTTGGTCTGGACTGGCAGCTCCTGACGGGGATCAAAAGCAGATAACAGATTTAGGCCTAAGGTACTTTAATGTAATAGATGTATTTGAGTAACCATTGATCTGAACACATTCCTACCACGGCATTCTGACTCATTGAAGGTTTAAACTGAAAACATGCAAGGATGGCTCCCCTTACAGATCTGTGGTTGAAATCAGCTCCCTGCAAAGGTCAGGAAGTGACGGCCCACTCCAATCCTTCTAAGGCGCATGACCTCTGTTCCCCTATCTGCATGAGTTGGGAATCTAGCTTTTGAAAATGGTGTGGACTGCCTCTTAATGGCTTCAGAATTTATTAATCGTAAATATAGGCAAGAACATTGCCACTTGCAAAACATATATGCCAGTCTTTAAAACCAAAGAAACATCAGTATTATCCTTAACGTAGAGATTAAATTTTGCTGATGACATAGGTCTGTTTAACGACAAATCTAGGTATATGGTTCTGCCTCAAAGTATTGCCACTAAGTTTTAGTGCAACCCTTAAGCATCTTATAGGAATGAAGAAGATTGGGGAAAAGAACAGCTCAGAAATGTCTGTATTACATATTAGATCAGTAAGTTTTGAGGGTCTTCCAATTATGTTTCTTGCATTTCCATATGTAAGGAAACTTCCCCACAAGTGGGAATAATCAAAACAGAGCTTGGAGCCTTACTGATGTGGGCCGGCCTCGGTATTTTGATGGGAACTCACTCTGAAAGCCTAAATCAGGGACCAGAGAAATCTGGTCATGACTTAGGACAAGCAGTACATAACAGTGCCTAGCTGCTACTTTAATAGAAGAATTGGAACTATTTCAGGAAATCAGGGAAAATGTCAGACTAATACTATACCTAAAGCGAACTGAAGAGCAAAAAGTGGCTGAAGCCAAACCAGGGCTGATAGTAAAGATCATGTGTTTATTTACCCTTCTCTCGTAAAGGTTGGTCATTGGTCATTTTCAATAAAATGTGAGTTCATCATTCCATTGCCCAGAAAGGAAACCTTGAACTTTGGTGCAGAAACCTGCTGTGTCACTGGGCAGGGAATATTCAAGTATGACATGAAAATTCTTTCTTTGAAATGGGCCCTAACAATTTTGATACAAAACCATTCCTCTCACAATAAACAAACGATTAGTCATGACCATAAACACAAGCAGAACACTAACTATTGAATCTGCTGAAATCTCCTTCCCTGCTGCTAATGGGTTTTCGCAATAATTTGCTAAATGATGCACAGTGAAAATGGTTCTTGATCGCAGCACTTGTGGGGGGTCAGTGTCTGTTAATAACACTCAGATATTCCTTTCATATCTTAATGGCAGAACCGGGCATATAAACAACTTTAAACATTACATTTGATTTCAATCTTCTAAAAGAAGTTCCAAACTTCATAGAATTCTGAATTTTGAACAAAATATTTTAAAAATAGTTTTAAGGGTGACTATAGAACTATAACATCATGTAAAATTTAAATTTTATTTTAAATCCAATTAATATTAATTTTCATAGATGGAACAGGGTATTTATAAATAAACAAATGCTCAAAATAATGTTTCTCATGTCATACCTACATAACATAAAAGACCTGTGTGCTTAACACTTGTTAAGACCCTTCAAACAAAAAATATAGTGACTAATGTGATCTATTTTAACTATGGCATTCCCTAAATCTAGCAACGTAGAGAACTGAAATAATTATCTAGAGGTTCTGAAATAAAATATGTGACTTCAGATCTTAAGTGTTATTTCAAATTATTACTTGAGTGTTTAGATACTGAAAGCCTGGTTCAAGCAATGAGGTGCTTACGTGTTTACATGTGCATGTATTTGCATACACTGTATATGTGCATACCCTGAATTATCTCTCAAATTGTATTGGGGGGACTAGGCTATTTAAGTGAATCAAATAATTTTCAAAAACAGGCTTTAAAAATTTTAAAACAAAACCACTGCACCTATCCAGTGTCGCCACCGAGGCATTTATCATTTAGCCCACCATGGGCCTGGAATCATGCAGTCCCACAGTGCTAAACAAACCAGGAAGACCTCACTGGACATTAACAAGATTTTATTTTTCACTCCGGATGGGAAAAACACTTGGTCTTTTTCTTGTAATTCCTTACATAAAATGTGAGCCCTGCAGAAGATGTGTTTACAGAAGAGAGAGGATTTGAGTGGATAGTGACCAGGGAGGGGAGAAACCGGTATGTGTGGAGGAACCGAGGTTTTCATAGAGCCTCAATTTCTTCTACACTTTGCTGGCACAAATGCTAGTTCGGGGACATCCTTCAGGAAAGCTGAGCATTATTGCCGTAAGCACTGAAGATGTATGTAAGCCCTCCAAAGGTAAACTGACTGCCTTCTGGGTACCCCCTAAAAGGACAACGTCATCCCCAACGGGTCCTATTCCTCATACGTAACTCGTTTCCAACTGGAAATGGGCACGGGCACCCCAAGCCCACAACCTGAGATGGGCAACCGAGCCGGCGGCGCCCACTCGCTGCGGACAATTCGCAAGGTGGTGCTGCCAAGCTTACCTCTCGAGCTCGGCGATCTTCTTGTCCTTGTCGTTCTTCTCGTGTTCCACCTCCTTGAGGATGTCCAGCAGCCGGTCCACCTCCGCTTGCGCCTTCCCGCACTCGTCGCGGTAATAAGACGCCTCCTTATCAAGCTGTTTTATTCGGTCTGCGAACTCGGGGTTCATCCTGGAGTCATCTTCAATGTTATGAGCCTTCAACATTATATTGTTAAAGAACGTATTAAGACAACAATTCAGAGCAATCGGGAGTGCAGTCGCCAGTGGCTCAGAAATCAACTTTAGAGAAAAAATAATAATAACCACCAAGAATTATGGGTATGCTGGCAGTTAAAAGGCAAAGGGAAAGAAAAAAAAATCACACATCTTAGCTACCTTAGGACAATGCTGACTTTAAAGTATACTACAGTTTCACAAGGGAGCTTCTTTTATTGTGTTTTGTTAAATGTTGCAAATCTTTGCTTTTCTTTCCCATCAAAAAATGAGGGGGGTGGATGGGAGTAGATGCTGTTAGCGTGTTTTCCCTGGTGGTCCGGCAAGCAGAAATAGGGCAATGCAGCTCCTCCCAGTGAAGGAGGTGACCCATGCCCCAAGCTCCCTTTTCTAAAACAAAGAAATGAAAAAAAAAAACGATATTAGAGTATGTATCCAAGAACTGTCAAGGGCATACGTACAGCCGGGTAACATAGAAGAGACTGGTTGCCTGATCTCTGAACACTTCACCACGCTGAGGTAGTTCAGCAGGAGATAGATTTAAACAAAAAACGACTTGTAAGTGACGAAGGGCTTTCCAGCTAACAGTCATACCCATAAATTCTGGTTCTCTTGATTAAACTGAACCTGAACCAGGAGGAGGAGCGAATTCATGAACAAGCACACGGACAAGAACCTGCAAACACATGCATGGGTGGAAGGAGGCAGCGTTACACACAAGAAGAGACACAGGCACAATATAGCAACAATACTGACGAATAATTTGCAGCCAAAGTATTGGTTGAGTGTGTGTGTGTGTGTGTGTGTGTGTGTGTGTGTGTGTGTGTGTGCACGCTATGAGTGTGTGTGACGGCTTTTTTTTTTTTAATCTTCCCAAAATAAACTTTTGGCTGAAATATTCCCAGACAGATGGAAAGAACACTGAACTGCAAAGGTCTGCCTACCCCTGCTTTCTCGTTATTCCTAATTGATTTCTTCAAAGAGCAGGCAGGGAGAAAAAAACATGTAGTTTTACAAGGGTGCACATTCAACACAGAAAGTTCAGGTAAGTCATATACAGATGTACCTCCAAACTCCATGTGTGATAGAATAAAATGTTCGTGATTTATTGGGATTGACGCTGCGCTGCTGTCTCACTATGGAGAACAGATGTTCATTGTGTTTTTATAACTTTTTTTTTTAAACTTCAGGGACAAACAAGGCAAGCAAGCTATAATAGCTACGGGGGGTGGGGGGTCAAATGAATCATGCATGGTTAAAAAAATTAATACTAGTACTACTGTTAGAGGGTTGACAGGTTTTGCAATGATTTAGTAGAAAACAATTCAAAAATTAGTAGAAATGAAAATAAATGTCTTACTTATGACAAAATAATCATTTTTTAGAATAATATTTTTGCATGTAACATTATTTAAGCATGAGGATAAGAGGAAAATAATTTGCTTTCATGTTCTTTAAGATTTCTCATTCAAGAAATATGCTCAACTGGGCAAAAGATTTGGGGAGAAAAATCAACTCAATAGACTCTAAGGAACCGGTTTACACCTTTTTACCAATGTTTCTCAGAAAACATTTATAGTTTATTGATAGTTATTTAGTATGTACACTGGGTTTCATTATAATAGATTAGTGAGCTTTTTCAGTATAATTAACATAATCTGAAAGAGAATCCTGAGCTAATACACCTGAGATTTATTCATCTAAGAATTTTATTTTAAAATGAAGTAATGGATTTAAATTTGTTAATCTCCACTTTAAAAATGTAGATACTCTCTTTTAAAAGAAAATAACTACTCCATATGCCCACTTCTATTTGTGGTATTAAGAATCGACTCTCGTAACAGAAACCCATTTAAAACAATTTTTTAAGTGCTAAGAAAAAAGAAAACAAGATTTTCATGTTAATTGTCTTCCACTTTTATACTATTTCCTTTTTTTTTAAACTACAAATCTTTTCATGACAGTTTTTTCAAACTACCCAACATTAAGATCTTTAAAAAAGAACGAACTGAGTCATGAGAAGCTAGAAACACTCAAAACAAATAAAAATGTTTTGAATGCCTGTTTCTAACTTGGGGTAAAATTCCTTTCCTGACTCTGGTTTAAAGATTCACAAAGAGCTGGTGGTTAGCCACTGTGCATTATTTTGGTTTTTATTCTTATGATAATTATCATTCTTTTTAATAGACAGGTTCAGGATTACTGGTTGTGAGACCTACATTCTAAATCCTGCCCTGTGCCTCAGGCCTCCTACAGGCAAATGAACAGCGAAAGGACAGTGGGAACTACAAAATGACTAACATGGGGAAGGTATTATTCACTTATGTTTGTATTATGATCATTATTTTATAATATGCATTTCATCAGGGGGGCTTGTTATATAGCTAAGTTAATAGGTTTACTTAATTTTCATCATGATAGTATACATGCTTTGAGGTACAATGAGCCTAGGAAAAGACGTGCCCGAAGCTAGACTACCGCTGACCTCATGTGATGCTAAAGTTAGATCATGTTATTAAAATAAAGACCACAGCCGAGGGTACACTTGGCCTGCTGTCTGTTAGATAATACTTGTAAATGCTAATGACTCTGCCTTTTAAAAGGAATAGACAACCTCAAGAATACCACTGAGTTAAGTATATCCATCTCCGTATCAATATCTACTGATCTCTGGGCAAAAGAATTTAGGTCAAACCACCTTCAATATGGGTGCCAGAATTCTTGGAAGGGTTAGTAAGTAAAGGTGTAAACAGCACTTTTTACAAATCTAAGTCAATAGAAAGCACTAAGAAAGAGACATACAGAGATGGGAGACTGAGAGCAGCTTCCGGGCCATCACTAGCGTCCAGGAAGACTCAGAGCAGAGAGAGGCTCACGTGACTGAAGGCTGGCGAGTCCCTGATCCAACCTGAGCACTGCAGGCAAACATCTCCATGGAGCTTATAAACGATATTACAGGTAACCAGCTCTCTTCGCCCTGCACCACAGCTTTTCAGAGGATGGGGAGAATCCGCTCACCACTATCGCGTGAGTGTGTTATACTGTGATCTACAGACTGGGAGCGATGCCGCTCTGAAGAGATACAGGAGGAAACTGAGCTTATAAACCCGATGCTGCCTTCAAAGGTATAAGGCAAAAAGCCTCCTCTAAACATGGAATGAAGGAAGCACTTTAGTCGCGCATAGGCAATCCTCTTGCCTTTTCAAATTATAACATGGTTTCTTTGGTCTGGACTGGCAGCTCCTGATGGGGATCAAAAGCAGATAACAGATTTAGGCCTAAGGTACTTTAATGTAATAGATGTATTTGAGTAACCATTGATCTGAACACATTCCTACCACGGCATTCTGACTCATTGAAGGTTTAAACTGAAAACATGCAAGGATGGCTCCCCTTACAGATCTGTGGTTGAAATCAGCTCCCTGCAAAGGTCAGGAAGTGACGGCCCACTCCAATCCTTCTAAGGCGCATGACCTCTGTTCCCCTATCTGCATGAGTTGGGAATCTAGCTTTTGAAAATGGTGTGGACTGCCTCTTAATGGCTTCAGAATTTATTAATCGTAAATATAGGCAAGAACATTGCCACTTTCAAAACATATATGCCAGTCTTTAAAACCAAAGAAACATCAGTATTATCCTTAACGTAGAGATTAAATTTTGCTGATGACATAGGTCTGTTTAACGACAAATCTAGGTATATGGTTCTGCCTCAAAGTATTGCCACTAAGTTTTAGTGCAACCCTTAAGCATCTTATAGGAATGAAGAAGATTGGGGAAAAGAACAGCTCAGAAATGTCTGTATTACATATTAGATCAGTAAGTTTTGAGGGTCTTCCAATTATGTTTCTTGCATTTCCATATGTAAGGAAACTTCCCCACAAGTGGGAATAATCAAAACAGAGCTTGGAGCCTTACTGATGTGGGCCGGCCTCGGTATTTTGATGGGAACTCATTCTGAAAGCCTAAATCAGGGACCAGAGAAATCTGGTCATGACTTAGGACAAGCAGTACATAACAGTGCCTAGCTGCTACTTTAATAGAAGAATTGGAACTATTTCAGGAAATCAGGGAAAATGTCAGACTAATACTATACCTAAAGCGAACTGAAGAGCAAAAAGTGGCTGAAGCCAAACCAGGGCTGATAGTAAAGATCATGTGTTTATTTACCCTTCTCTCGTAAAGGTTGGTCATTGGTCATTTTCAATAAAATGTGAGTTCATCATTCCATTGCCCAGAAAGGAAACCTTGAACTTTGGTGCAGAAACCTGCTGTGTCACTGGGCAGGGAATATTCAAGTATGACATGAAAATTCTTTCTTTGAAATGGGCCCTAACAATTTTGATACAAAACCATTCCTCTCACAATAAACAAACGATTAGTCATGACCATAAACACAAGCAGAACACTAACTATTGAATCTGCTGAAATCTCCTTCCCTGCTGCTAATGGGTTTTCGCAATAATTTGCTAAATGATGCACAGTGAAAATGGTTCTTGATCGCAGCACTTGTGGGGGGTCAGTGTCTGTTAATAACACTCAGATATTCCTTTCATATCTTAATGGCAGAACCGGGCATATAAACAACTTTAAACATTACATTTGATTTCAATCTTCTAAAAGAAGTTCCAAACTTCATAGAATTCTGAATTTTGAACAAAATATTTTAAAAATAGTTTTAAGGGTGACTATAGAACTATAACATCATGTAAAATTTAAATTTTATTTTAAATCCAATTAATATTAATTTTCATAGATGGAACAGGGTATTTATAAATAAACAAATGCTCAAAATAATGTTTCTCATGTCATACCTACATAACATAAAAGACCTGTGTGCTTAACACTTGTTAAGACCCTTCAAACAAAAAATATAGTGACTAATGTGATCTATTTTAACTATGGCATTCCCTAAATCTAGCAACGTAGAGAACTGAAATAATTATCTAGAGGTTCTGAAATAAAATATGTGACTTCAGATCTTAAGTGTTATTTCAAATTATTACTTGAGTGTTTAGATACTGAAAGCCTGGTTCAAGCAATGAGGTGCTTACGTGTTTACATGTGCATGTATTTGCATACACTGTATATGTGCATACCCTGAATTATCTCTCAAATTGTATTGGGGGGACTAGGCTATTTAAGTGAATCAAATAATTTTCAAAAACAGGCTTTAAAAATTTTAAAACAAAACCACTGCACCTATCCAGTGTCGCCACCGAGGCATTTATCATTTAGCCCACCATGGGCCTGGAATCATGCAGTCCCACAGTGCTAAACAAACCAGGAAGACCTCACTGGACATTAACAAGATTTTATTTTTCACTCCGGATGGGAAAAACACTTGGTCTTTTTCTTGTAATTCCTTACATAAAATGTGAGCCCTGCAGAAGATGTGTTTACAGAAGAGAGAGGATTTGAGTGGATAGTGACCAGGGAGGGGAGAAACCGGTATGTGTGGAGGATCTCCAGGGGGGTCTCAGTGTACTGTGGTCAGTAACAAGGTTGCCCCAGTGCCTCCAAATCAGTCATTTGCCTTGTAGCAACAAGAGTGCTATACAAAGCATTAAATTTAAAATCCAGAGGGTCTAAAGATTTATTAAAGACTTATCTGCAACTTGTGGATACCATCTCTGTGCATAATAACCACCAGGAATACAGCAAAGAACATATTTGAGATTGATGAAAAAAACATATTATTTGTCTGGAATTAAGAGCTAAGAAAAAGAACTAAACTGAAGATAACCTACACAGCGTTTATAATGACAAGACAAAACGCCTCCAGGAGTAGAGACTGGTGGCTAAGCTGCCAAAGGGTTATTATTATAAGAAATGATACAAAGGCAAAATTTTAGGTTCCTAAGAAATGGCATTAGAGTATCACTTAGTACAATGGGATAACTAAGTAAAACTAAAAGATTTTTTAAAGTAGAAGGTTTATTTCTACTCTAGGAAAAAAATATTCCCAGGAGGACTTCAAAGCTTAATCCTTATTTACTCTTAGTTTAAACTAATGGACATAGAGTTGACTGTAAAATTATCCTATTTAACAAAAAAGACTGAGTTATAATTCACCAACATTTATAGGGTGGCCATACTCAAAACAAACATACAAGAATAAAAGAAATTTCCTAGGTATCAATAACTGGTTAGGAAATGAAAGGGGATATAGCATTCATAACAGTAACCTAGAAACTATATATATAGTAGTGCTAGGACTATCCTTGAAAAGAAATACCACAGGTTTCTAATAGGAATACATCAAAACTTAACTGTAAAAGATCACTGAAATAAATAAAAGTTGTATCAAGTTCATGAATGGGAAAAAAATAATACTGGAAAGATAGCAATCTTCCCCAAATTTCTTTACAGGTTGACTATAATTCAAATTAAAATCACAAACAATTGTTGTTTTTTAATTGACAAGGTGATCCTGAGCTTTACTTGGAATGATAGAAAATTAAAAGCTAAGAACATTAAAACAAACATAGACAAAATGAAAAACAGGAAGAATTAGGGTAGAATGTGGTTTTAGATGTTTAAAAATATTACAAAGCCACAAAAATTAAAGTTCGGTCCCAAAAAACAACAGACATTGATAAAACTCAACGGAAGCTGGGAAATGAAGAAATTTACCCATTTGAGAACTCAGTATATAAGAAAATACTATCAAGATCAGTAAAGAAAGAATTATTTAATAAATGGCACTGGGATAGATGACTGTCAGAAAAAAATTAAGTAAGAACCTCTTAACATTAAAGGGTAACATTAAAATTTTAGGTGAGGTCTCCCTTTGAAATCAGAGAATTATGTCTAAGCATAAAGGCAATGAGAAAATCCTAAAGGGAAAAAGGGGTCAAGGAACTAAAAATAGTTCTTGTATTAAAAATTTTTGATTAAATAAAACTTTGCACAATAGTGCACAATAGGTTGTCTGAAGCACAGAATAACTCATACAAAGCTATGAACAAAACAGTAAACTCAAACATACATGTTTAAATGGCTTCAACAATTCACAGAAGGAAAATATCAACAGCTAATAAATGCAGTAAAAACCTTAACCACCCTAGTAATTAAAGAAAAGAAAGTTAAAATGACAGGGGCAGGGGGGGAAGTCCTCTATGCATTTGTCAGAGTTACAACATCCAATGAGGGTTTCGGTGTTGGCCGGGGTGTGGCAGAAGGGCTGCCTTCACTCAGTGCTAGAGGACGCGAGCCTTAGTAAAATTTCTGTAAAATGTAACACAGTGGGAACTTTCGGGAACTTTTTGAAAGCACTAGGCTGGGAATTTATTCTGTTAACAAGATAGAAATGTAGGAAAGTAAATAAGAAAAGATGTTCTTTAGCACATTTTTATATTGGCAATAAAAAAAAAACAGAAGAGGCGATCAACATCTGGGGGACACAGAGGTTACACTGGGCTATCACACGACCTTTGAAGTGATGTTTTGGAAGAGTAGCTGATTATATGACAAATTTCTGATGATGCATTTTAAAATAGGATATAAACTCAATAAACTCTTGGACACAATTTGGTGAAAAGAAATAGAGTAATTGATAAGGAAAAAAAGGAAAAAAAAGGGAGAAAGAGGGAAAGAAGGAAGGAGGAAGGGTGGAGAGGGGAGGAAGGAGGGAGATAATGACATGCAGCGACGTCTGGGCCGGCGACAACCCAGGTCTCCCAGGTGATTCTCTCTCTGGGCAGGAGGATGCCCTGCGGTGTTCATTTTCTCCTATGACCTTCCATACTTTTGCAAATTCTCCACTGGGACCATAGATTATTTTTATAACCAAAAAATAATAATTTTTTTAGAAAGACTCTTAAGGATATGAAATCCATCATGCTGCATCCTTATCAGTTCGAAAAAGAGCTGGACCCTGAGACTATCTACAAGCGGAGGGAGTCTGGTGCTGTTCTCAGGATGTCAGAACAGTGGGTTAGCTTAATTAGCCTGGGGAGAAACATCAGTCAGTGACTTTTGACTTAGTCACCTAACAGACAGAAAGGTTGGCCTTTGTGTCCTGTAGAATGAAGGCCAGGCCCCAGAAGGGCCATGTCATCAGTATTTCTGGAAATGGTCTAACAGTTAACAGAGCTGTTTCTCCGGCCCGACCTACAGTGACAGAGAAGATGAGCTCCCTTCAGAGGGCCTGTAAGTCCTGGCTGCGGCAGAAACAAAGCCCTCCCCATCTGTCCTGCACATGCCCAAAACGTCATAGACTTAGCTTTTCTCTCTGCCCTTAGCTACAAATGTGAAACAATTTCAGTAGCATTCATTACTTTACCCCTTTTTCAAAATGATCTAAAGAAAACACCCAGGGTTCATTTTCTTAGAGAAAAGAGACTCATAAATATTTTTGATATGCCCATCTTATTTGTCTGTCTGCACCTTTCCCTCAGTCTCAAGCCTGCTTATTGACACTTGCATGCAAATGTGAAGGGAAAGGAAATTTGGATGATTTTTGCTGCTCTGTTAAAAATCATATTTGGGGAAAGAGGTTAATAAAGATGCTCCAATGCGGCTTGAGGTTTGCAAAAATAAAATTTGTTTTGAAGAATGGAGGGTGGAGGTTGAATCCAATTACGTACACTGGAGCACCTTGTATATCACGCTCTGTGTATCCTGCGGTGGCAGCTTAGCAAAAAGAGTGTTTGGCTGAATTGCTTCCTTCATCCATGCTATTCCTTTTTGCCATGATGGGAATTTATAAATTGGAGGCAATTAGAATGCATGATAACACAGATCGCATCTGCCAACAGACATATTCTGGTCACCTGTAGGCAGTATTTCTCCCAGTAAGCCACTTGAGTTGACAAAACAATAAAGCCCTTCACCTTCAATAAGTTGAAGAAACAAATAAATTGGTCCATATAAATGCACACCTGTCATTAGGACAAAAATAAATAAATGGCAGCATCTGGGCCACTTTACGCATATTTTTACTGGTTACCTATTTTGTGTACCATTACGCTATAATCAGAATTGTTACTATCTGTTATCACAAGGCTGTATTTTAGTTTTTCCTCCACCAAATGACATGTTTTTAACTCTTAGAAAGCCCACAATAAGGCTGGGCAGTTTTCAATCTCGAAGAGCATAGCACTATTTTTAAATCTAAACCTATTTTTAACTTCTGTCATTTAAATGGAACATACACTGAGTTATTTGCTATTTCACAAATGTTCTCCCTTTGGGCACAGATAAAGTCTGTGTTTGAAGGACCTAAGAAAAAATTCCATGTGCCTAGAACTGCAGGTGACCTCTGCTTTTCTATAGCCTTCGGGTCAGAAGTGAAGAAGGCGGCACTATCAGGGCAGGCCTGTATTTCCCTGAGTTCTTGATTTGTGAATTTCGCATTCAAAAGAAATGGCAGTGGCCTCTGCCCAGGCCATTTCTTTGGTCAGAACGGAAATGGGAAGAGACTCATAAATATTTTTGAAACCTCCTCAGGAATGGCACACTGTGACATGTGATCAGTGGATCCTCATGCTTTGATATGTTACAGCGAGAACTTTCAGACATGACTTACTGGGTTGTACATCTGATTGAACAACTGCTCAGCTTGCTACATTGCAAAGTTGGGGAGGCATTGAGGCACAGACAGGGAAAAGAAGGAAAGATCCAGAAAAACAGCATTAGCTCAACAAATCCAGTGCATTTGCACAGACGAACTAGTCGTTAAAAAAAGAAGAAATTTCAGTTCCTAAACATTCCACAGTGAAAGTGAGAGGCTCTAGGGAAACAGATGTTGCCTTTGGCTCCCAAGAAAGAATAGCTGGAATAAGAAATTTAAGGTTTGTGTTACTTTCCCTTTCTCAAGTTAAATAACCCATGAAATAAAGAAAGCTATCCACTTTTGATGATACATGAAGTGCTGGCCTCTAGCAATGAATCAGGAGTACTTTTGGCCAGGATTGCAATTTATTACCTGGACTTCAAAGATGGTAATAATAGAAGATTAATTAAACCTTATCATTGAATGTATAGCTCTTCTTTTAAATTAACACAAGCCTGGATGTCCTATTCAGTCGGACTTCAGAAAAAGACAGATAAGCAAACAGGAGGTTAACAATAGCAAAATATCAGTAAGCAGGACATTTCAGGATTAACAGTAAATGGGAGAAGAAAAACTTTAAGTCAGCAGGAAGAAAAAAGGGGAACCAAGATATGGTATTATCTTTTGTCCAGAACTAGTTTCCACTACTAGTTTATAATTAATGAGAACTATAGTTTTCATTGACTATTATGTGTCAGGCACTTTAGAGTCTGTAATGCTCTATTTTGCATAGATTTCAGTGTTTTTGGATTTCAAGGTACTAAATATTATTTTAAATAGCATTCTCCAGTTCTAGTTCTTAAATACCCGCATCATTAATTTGGGGCTCAATGTCAGAGGACAGCAGGTGAAGTATGGTAGGAACTGTCCCCTTGTTTTAAGCTAAGAGAAGTATCTTTGAAGGGCCTCAATTTTCCATTTCTTCAGTGAAGTCAATGAAAATTTTACCATGGTATGGGGAAAAAACAGCTTCCTCAAAAGTGATATGAATTGGAAAATTAGTGAATAACACAAATCATGACATTTTGAATCACTGTTGCTTCTCAACTGATTTCTAGTCAAATAAAGTAAACTGACTTCTACATACTGAACACCAAATACTCTCTGAAAGACAAGATGAGCCACACATCACTGCTCAGGTTTTCTCAACCCTTAGGTGTCCCTGTGGAGATGAATGACTGCACTCAATTGATAAAGCACGCTCATCACTAAAATAATGCATTATTGGTCAGTATCATTTCATCAGCCTAATATCAGGACAGAGTTCCTCACACGTCAGTGTTTGATTGCATTGTTTTTAAGAAGTGGGATGCAATGTGTAAAGAAGAGTTCTTTCTCTACCTGTAACCATTTTGAACACAAAGTATTTGGAGATGTCTTAAATTAACACAGTAGAGTGAAGGGTTAAAAGCAGCTAAGTATGTGAACGTTCTCCACAAACCTTTATGTAAAAACTCACCTTACGAATGTCAAGCATTGTTCGTAAGACAAAAAAAAAAAATTTTTTTAAATCACCGCTTGGAGTCCTGGTTACACGCAGACCAGGTTTCTATTCAGCTAAACATATCTACCATGTTGTGCAGATTTTACGGCAAAAATACCTGGACACTCACAAATCTTGAGCAAAATTCCATTGGGGACTCATGGCTTATTTATGATGTAATAAAACTATTATGTTTTCAGCTTTCATTTAGTAACCCTTTATATTTTATTCACAAGTCACATACCCTTTTATTTAAAAGGAGGCCCAGACACTCCTTAAGCTTTTATAGCTGCTTATTTTTCCATGAGTAAATGATGTGTTTATATGTATATTCACATACTGTTGGCTTACAGTTTCAAATATTTCATGTAGATCTCAATTCTTTTTAAGGTGATGGGTACTTGAGGTTTTTATGGAACTATTTATTAGCAGAAATTAAAGACTACTAGAGAAAGTATTTTAAACTTTTGAATTTAGTTGATGCTAGAGAGCCAAAAATAACAAAATAACATCTGCAGGTTAAGTATAAAAATATTTAAATTATAATTACTTTATTTAATCTCACTGTACTATGCATTTAGGAGATCATGTAGGCAAAGATTATTTATATCCCTAGAAATAAGTTATCTTTTCATAAATTAGGTAAGTCCTTTACAGCAAGACAACCATAATTGTTACTTTAATCCTGGTGATGGGGCAGATTGTTAAAATGTTGTCAGGAATAAGGCTAAAAAGTTCACAGGACTTGACCTGTGAAGTTCAGTAGGTGGTGTCCTCCAAGTCTACGGAAACCACATGTTCTGAGTGATTTTATGGGCAACTATAGTTACAAGTGAACCTCTTCCTTTTAATTAGTAGAGGATTTTCAAATCCCCAAATGACTTCCACTAAAAGGAAGGGTGTCAAATACATATCTGCAGAAATGATTTGTCGGGTGGCCTCATCTCCATAATAGCGACTCAGAGTTGATGAAGGGTATCTTTCACGCCTCACACTGAGGTCTTCCTTGGACTGAGTACATTGCCACTGAGGTAAGATAATGCAAAGGGCCATCACAAGGAGCCACAGAGTTATTTCAGAACCTGCCTTATGATCACATTAAATAAAAATACCCTTCATGTGTTCATTTCTTGATATGCATATATAACATACTGCACAAGACACTCATGCATGTGTCAAGAATGAGTATCATACACCCAGTGCATAAACAGCCAAGTCAACCTCCATTTATATACCTTCAAATGGCCAATTCAAATTATTCGATTTATTGTTGAAGATTTCTGCTTAACTAGATATTGCCTGAAAAAAGTGAGATGTTGAGTGGATGGGGAAATGGATTTTGCAGTCTAGGGATTTTCTTGCTGTAAAGGGATTTGACCTCTGTTGTTAACTTTCTCTGTATTAATAAGGACACAGAGTGAAATGTCTCATGATAATTTCCTAAAATTCTGTGGTAAAGGGAACACAGTATAATCACATTTCAGTTATATACTGCATCATACAAAATAGTATATTATATTTTAAAATATCCAGAATAACTTCTCTACAGATACATGATGTTTTTGTTCCCTATCATCTATATCATATATGTTTGTAACTTGAGCAAATAAATCCCCATTCCAGGGTGCTATGAACTATGCCAAGTCAAATTTCATTCTCTGCTTGGGTTGCTTAGAGGTTTTTATCATCTCTCTTGAGTGAGTTTATAAACTGTCAAAGGGAAACAGAATGCTTAAACTCATACTGTTATGAGTTTTGTGTGAACAATGAGTGCAGACAAACCAAACAACACAGGGGAGGAGTCAAAGGAATGAGGCATGATGGGAAATGCACTCCACGAGAATGTCCAGTTCAGAGAAAACAGGTCAATGCTACAGTGTGAGGGTCCTGCCATCTCTTCCAAAGACTTCTACATACAGTGAGCTTCTTAGGCATAGAGGTCACTTTTGGTCAAGGATAAATGGTCATCCCAGAGATATTCTAGAGACTTGACTGTTTTGGTGAACTTCTAGAAATTTAGCGTTGTCAGGTAAACTTTTACAAAGTTCCAATACAAAAGCTGCCCTACTTCTGAGAGGAGTGAAAGTTTATCTGCATATAATGAGACCCCTCGAGTCTTTGGTTTATTGCCAACATTTCCATTTATCTTTTTTTGATAGTTGAGATGTGCCCAGACAGTAATGGTTGTTTTTTGTAATATTGTTCACTTGCACTACTATTTTCACTATTTTTCAAGGTTTTTTGTTTTTTCTGGGGTTTTTTTTCAGACAGGAAACCTAAGATAATTTTTCAGGTTCACAGACAGATTTGATGCAGACCTCTTAGGAATAAAGTTAAGAGAGTTTAATTCTTTTATCAGCAGACAGCTAAAGATAAGGGGTTTGTTTCTTTTAAAAAATGTCTCTTCCTTTGCCATTTTATAAATTCATTGCAAAATAAGCATTTCTTTTCTTAGGCTTCACTTACCTTTTTTAACTGGGCTTCTAATTTGCTACATTCTTCTTTCTTCTGTTCAATGGCTATTTCTAGTGATTTTAATTTGGAGTCCCTTTTCAGCCCTGCTGAGGCTAATGAAGATGCATGTTCCTTGAGGTCAATTAAACTAGACTGAAAGGAAAAGAATATTAGTAAGTAAAACACTGCAATTTCAATGAGCAATGTATTCCATTAGAATACATGGATTCCATACATAGCACACAGTGGGCATTGGACGAAAAGGGTAAATACAGTCTTACAAAAGTAACAATAGTCGCTGCCCTTGTACTGTTCACCATGTAAGAACTTATTCACTATGTAAGAATTTGTTCACCATGTAAGAACTTGTTCATTATGTTTCAGAAGACTGGAGACTGATGAGAATTAGGCTTGGGGTGGATTAATGATTGTGCATTGAGCATTGACTCCCCTATACAGAATTTTATTGTTGTTAACAACCATTTGATCAATAAATATGAGAGATGCCCTCTCAAAAAAAAAAAAAAAAGTAACAATAGTCGGCTCTGGCCAGGAAATTAAAATTGGCCAGCTTACAGAACAGAGCAGGATCTAATTGCGGTATAGAAGCCAATGTGACCAAACGGTGTGGTCAGCAAATGCATGTTTCACATCTCAAAGTCATGCTAATGGTGTAAGTCCCAAGGTGGTCTTTACATGTCATGGCAAAACAGACGTCCTGAACCTTCCACTGACATTCACTGCTGCCAGGTTGTGCAGATGCTAAGACAAAATACTGCCTCAAATGCTTCCCACCCCCCCGTCCCACAGGGCAAATCGATTATAAAAGCAGCGTTCTGTTAACTTTTTATCAAATTCCATGCCTTTAATTAAAAACTGACCCATGGTTTTTCAAACAACTTCTGCAGAATCAAAGACAGAACTATTTTACAATATAGAGTAGACATTATGTTCCCATCCCTTGTAAATCAGATTCAGTAGACATAATGAATCTCCCCGACTCTGGCATGGGGTGACCTAAACCGTTCCACTCACCAATCATGCCCAGAATCCAAGAGCTTCCCTGAATATCTGAATACCAAAAAGTAAAGAAATAAATACGAGAACATAACTGCCCAAGTAGGATGTCCATCACCAAACATGAAATGGTCAGCCACATCAATGTGACTAAAATATTCAGGTTTCACCTAAAATCAGACCTTGTACATTTCCTTTATAGCCATTTGCAGCACCTTGGAAGATACTAAGCACTTAGGAAATGATGCCGCTGGGTATTTGAGGTCTGAGCTGCTTCGTGGGCCCTGGAATTATCTGTGGAGGAAGATAATATCCTACCATCACTGAGCAAATGACTCAGCTCCTAACTGCCCCCTGAGGAGCAGGTTAGCCATTCCCACTTTTCACGTCCAGAAACTGAGGCTTACACGAGTTGAGTGTCTTCTCCAGGGTCCCCGAGCTATTAAAAGTCTCAGTTCCAGGACTGCGACTCCAATTTCAATGCTCTTTACCAGATCACCCCAAGCATTTTTGTTACAATGAAGATTATTATCACCCCAACTAAATTATAAGCTCCCTGCTGATAACAGTTATGTGTTGTTTTTCTTTATAAACTTTAAATTGCCAGGTATGATGATAGCTTTACATGTCAGTTTGGCTGGGCTCACTCAAACATCAATCTCTGTGTCGCTGGGGATGTATTCTGGAGATGGGGCTATTATCTATGACCAGCTGACTTTAAGTAAGGGATATTATTATCCATAATCTTGATGGGCCTGATCCTATTTGATGAAAGAGCAAAACTGAGGTTTCCCTGAGAAAGACGAACCTCCCACTGTGGACGGCAGGGTTGGCTCCTGTCTGAGAATTTCCAGCCTGCCCTTCCTGATGGGATTTTGGATGTGCCCCATCAGCCCCCATAACTATGACAGCCAAGGCCTTATGATACATTTCTTAACACGGTTCCGTTTTCCTGGGGGAACCCTGAACGCCACTCCCAGCCCAGTGGCAGGCATGTGATGATACAGGAACAATACGTGTTTGCTAAAGTGCTTGTCTAAAATCTAAATTGCTGGCACTGCTTACAGAATTACTTTCATTTAAAGCTTCTGCTCCACCATGTCATCAAGATCTCTTTTCAGTTAGAAGTATATATACTGGTTTTAAGGTGCAAACTTATGAGTCACACTTGTAATCCGGAAAGACGGCTGCCGAAAAGGCCAAGCTTCCAGGTGTGGCTTCTGCCATATCCCAGCCATGGGACTCACAGGTCCCCAGTGTGGAGCAAGTAGGGAAACGGCAGGAAGAGGATTTACATCCTTAGACTCAGATCGAAGAAACAATCTCCTCTCCAAAAACACTGGTGGGCTTACATTTTAGGGAATATGAATTTTGCTTCTGAGTTTCCTCAAAATTCCTGTTACTCATCAATTCTTCCCCTCCCAGATTCCTAACTTAGAACTTTAATTTGGATAGAATCATTCCAAACCCAGGGGCTGAGGTAATAATGGGGGGCTGGCAAATGGACGACTGTGCAGTGATACTGCCCAGCAGGGTGGAAGGGTCTGTAACAGTCCTAGAGGGGACGATGCTTCCTGTGGACAAAAGCAACCATGAAGGGCCCAACTGTGGATAATAGCATGGATCTCAGAGCTCTGGAACTGAGCAAAATCATGTGCATTGCTTCTTCTCATTCCTCTTCACCAAAGCATCCCAAAATAAGCTAATGGGGTTAGAGGCATCTCTCAGGACACGACAGGAGAGCCCACGGCATCCTGCCCCGTAATCCAAGGTCAGAACTATCTTTAAAGTATCCTGCCTTACTTTTAAAATGCATATGAGATTTGTATTCTACACCCGCGTTTACTCTAGCATGAGAACATTGTTTTTAACTATTTACTATAATGTAAAAATGATATTCCAGAGTGGAGCTTGTATTATTCTACATGGAGCTGTTACTGCATCTATGCTGCTGTTATTATTATGTCAAGCAAAGGACCATGGGATGCTGAAAAGAACTTAGAAGCCTCTGAGCTACACAAATATGGTTAAGATATCAGGCGTTACACTGTATGCAGTTTTTAGTAGAAAAGATATGCAAAGGGCATTGAGATGAAGGGAGTTACAGTAAATATTTTCCTTTGGATTCAGAACCTTACCAAGGAAACTCCACTCCCCCAGCCTTCACACAGAGCCTCAACTTAGTCTCTAGACTCCAGGTCACCACTGCGGATGGCACGGTTCCCTCGTTCTCCTGACTCACCTCTTTTTCGGTCAGTTCAGCTTGTAAAGCATTGACCTTCTCTTTCAGGTCTTTGTTCTCTTTGCGGAAGGATTCTATCTCTTCTAGTCTTTCCCGATCATCTCGCTCCCGCTGTTCTTTCAAACGCTCAATTATTCTCTCCTGTGAGGCAATGGTCAAACAAGAAGAGGTGAGAGCACATTGGTGTGGGTGCCAGGGCATGCTGCAGAAGGAAACCGGAGGCAAGACATGTAAGAAACCATCTGCAGAAACCGACACGCTCCATATTCAGAATCTGGTCTGAAGCGGCACTGTGTGCAACAGCGTTTGGGACAGATGATTAATACGGCTTTTGGCTTATTAATTAAAGTAAGCATTGCAGGGTTGCAAGGGAACTTGATGTTCAAGCTCCAGGCTGCTCTTGGTTCACAGTGGCACCTGGAAAATTCCAAGAGCGGTTCCAGGAGAGGGAGACGAGCCAGAGCCACATACAGGCAAGTGGAAGCAGCAGAACTGACCTCTTGGCTTGACCCTCTTTGCTTGGTTTTTCCGTTTAACATCAAAGAAACTTCCTTGGTTTCTGAAGACGCCTCTCTGGCTAGAAAGGGGATAGGACCCCGTCCTCCACTTACACAATGAATTCATTGGAAAAGTGACTTGCCAACACGCCTGGAGATACTCATTCACTTCTGTATTTTTTCAGTGGCTTCTTGAAGGTCAACAGCAGCTTATTGAGAGCTTACTATATGCTAGGTGGAGGATGCACCCCTCTCCATCTGGTCCCTGACACAACTGTGAGGTCTGGACCAGTGCTACTGGCCAGATTGTGGTGGGGAGGAAACCCAGGCCCAGAGAGAGCGGCTGAATCGTCCAAGGGGATCCCCCTCACACACTGGCCACCCTCGCATCCCAGCTCGCAGCCGTGCCCACGAAACTACACTCCACAAGCACATGCCTGGAGCCATTCAAGATCGGAGGACATTTCTGCCCTTGACTTTTGTACTGAAGTGAAAGTGCTACTCTGACAGACACCTTTTCCAAAGCTGTGAAACCTTCCCGAGATAAAAAATAAGCACCTTCTTTTCCAAAGGAAAATTCCGTTTGGGTAAAGTTTGAGTTGAATTTCTGAAATTTGTTTCAAACTACCCAACATGTATCTGAACTTCCTTCTGGATGGCCAAAAACACTAGTGCAACTATACTTAAGGACCCTGATATTACCTGTTATGCTGTCACAAAATAGCAACAAGACAATGCTTGCTACATAAGAAAAGGGTATAACAGTGTTTGATGCAGAGGGCAGCGAGTTTGAACACAGCCTGTGACTTGAGATTCCCCAGGGAAGCACTGTTCTACCCAATGACAACAATTTATGTATCTCATGCTTTCAAGGGAAAAGAAAAAGTACCATTATTGTTTTGTGATTATTTGAAAACACTTTAAAACAAAGTATATTATTACAACAGACGGGGTGGGAAAAGAGCAAATGGGTCTGCTAATCGCCTGTGTTTGTCTTCTCCTTGGCCCCAGTTACAGTCCTGTTTTACTCTGTCTCTGACGCTGCCGAGTGGCCGATTACGGGACCTACAGAAGAAGGAAATGGACTCAGTGCATGGTAAGTCTCTCAAGGGCTTTTAAAACTTTCAGCAACTGAGTCCTTTATTGCCTTTCACCTCCACTTAATGCACAAGTGTCACAACTGGTCACTCGGCCACCAGCCCTCTCCATACCATCACTTCCTCCACAAGCTTTCTGGAGTGACATTTTTAAAGCCCCAAACTGACCATGTCACCTCGCTGTTTGGAAACCTTCCCAGGAACTGCTCTGGCTGGACCGTGTGGCATTTATCCCACCCTTCACACAGTTTTACCGCATGTCCATCCTCCCAGCCTCGCTTTCCAAAAGGGCAGCATCAAATCCAAGGGCTCTTTGAACCCAGGGCTGGGCCAACTGTCTGGCACACAACAGGCAATTAAAAAGGCTGATGGAAGGAATAAGAGCTCACATTAGAGATCCCCTTGGCTTCAAAGGAAGGGAAATGAAACTAAGTATGCATATTAACATCCAGAAGGTGTCAGAGTCGTTGAAAAGTAGGTTGTTTTGCCCTAAGCGCTTGTACTATGGACTGGGCATTGATGACAAAAAAAATCAGCAAACACTACAATGCTTTTTAAGTGTTATTGGTGATTCAATACTACAAAATACTTCTCCGTCAATCACAAAACTAATTTAACTGTCAACCGCACAGGGCCAGATGTCAAAAACATGTGTTAAAAGGCCCTAATATGCCATGATGTACTTGATTAACAACTAACTTGCAGAAATTCCAGCAGCGTGTTCTTGTTTCGGTCTTATTTGCACTGGCAAGCATTGCTTGCACACTCCGTGGACTCTGCAGAGGTCTAATCTAGTCGCGCTTTATCACTAGGCGGGAACTGAACTGCAGTGACCTCCAGCTTGCTATCTGCCTTTCTCAACAGCTTATCTGCTAGGGGGCTGCAGCCAGGCTTGGCAAGACCCGCTATGTAAATGCTGGGAGTTCTGTCCCTTGAGCTTCTGTGGGTCGGTCGCAGAGCTAAGTCACACTCAATCTTAACTCACTAAGTGGCATTATTTTTTGTGATGTGCATGCATATATAAATTCCTGGAAATGAAAAGGAATAACACATTCCCCAGGATGTCCTAATCCAAGTGGAATGGTGAACAGCACCTAATAGGAATTCTATGCATAGGCCAAAAGACAGCAAATTATCAAATGGTTTTAAGAGTCCACAATTCTTAATTAATCCCCGTTCTTTTTTTACTATGTCTTTCTCCAGACGATCTGTTCAATTCAATGTGGATGACAACAGCACATGTAAGGGAAAGGCCATTACAGGAGACTGTACTGTTCTCAAAAGGACAAGGCTCAGGCGTCTTGGGTTCGTTTCTACTCCATCACCCCACAGTGAGCAGCCTTGGGATAGTCCTGAGAAGGCATCAAATCCCAACCAAGTACCCATTTAGACTAGGAGCGGCTTCCTGAGTGTCAGGTCTAGAAGTCAGCCTGTGCCACGGCTGACGCATGCCATCTGCCCAGGACCCAGGAATGGGGAGGGTGCTGTACGTGTCCAGCATTCTCATGTCTGCCCAGTCATTTCACCTTACTGAGCCCACTTTCTATCTCTAAAATGGAAGGGCATGGATTTAGCATTTCTCAAAGAGTGGTCTTCTAACCACTTGCATTAGAATCACTGGATACGCTGTTAAAACGATGGGTCCCTGGGCCCCATGACAGAGCATCTGAAGCAGAATCACTAGGAGATGGGAGCCAGGAAACTGGATTTGAGGAAGTTCCTAGATGATAAGATTATTTGGATACACACAGAAGTTTGATACCCAGCGGAATAAACACCTATAAATCTACTGTGCTCTGTCCCTTGATAGAGAACCTTGCCAACTCCTGCCCACTGTTTTTGTTTGTGCTTTTCAAAAATGAGCATTTTGACTTTACCATCTTTAGAAAATTCCTTCCAAATAAATTGCTCCATTTGCTTTTATTTTTCATTACTGTGAAAGGCTAAACTTCAAACACAAACGGGGTTTGGGAACTGAGTTCACTGGCTAAAACTGGCCCATGGAGCTATTTTGTTTGGTTTGTACATCAAAAATTTTTTAAATCAGAACTTGAATGTTTTGAGGCAGTCAAGGACTCTCCGGCTTGCCACAGTCCCCAGCAGCCCCTAATGCCTCACACAACATGCACTTCCTCATTTTTGTTCCCTGACTGGCCCTTCAAGGTATCTGAGTCCTCAACTCCTCATCTATAATCCAATGCAGATTCCATATGCCTGTGACCTTGGAGCAGCAGACTGAATAATTATAGTCAAGGTAGCTCCAAAAAGATATTACAGCTTACAGGCTTGGCTAATTGAAATGTGCATTTTGAAGACAAGGTCCTGTGAGGTACTGAGAGGAGAAAGACTTGCCCTACACAATGCAATTATCAGGCAGTGCAGTAAGATTGAGGGGCCAGACTCCCACGCACCTCAGCTTGCCCCTGGCCATCCCCTTGACCTGCAAGTAAGTGCTTAAATTAAGGGAGTAGTTCCAGACTTAGGAATTGTGTGGGGGATTTCAACCAGAAACAATCAAATCTTAATAGGGCCAGGCAAAAAAAAGATGATAAAATCCTGCCAAGGATCCGTGGCATGGGGCAAGTATATGGTATATGTTTAATGCTGTGAATTTGGAGAGAGAAATCAACAGGTAGAAATGGGCTGACATCCTGTCACTCAAAAACTGCAAAAGGGATACATAATCCTTAATAATTCTTGAACCAACATCCCCTCATTCACATTTCACAAGCAAAATCACTACAGAGAGTTTTGGTAATAAATACTTGAAAACAGAATAATGACTATTTCCCCTGAAAATTCACCTTATTTATTCTTCTAAGTTTTCAAGTAAAATCTTTTATCTTACAATTTAATCCTAAAGCTATCATCTTATCATTTTTAATAGGAACCTGAAGATAATCGAGCCACAGGATTGTGGCCCTTTTCTTTTTTTTTCTTTCTTTTTTAGCATCTTTGTTGTTAGTATAGAGAGGTGGTTCTCAGAATAGACTGTACATCGAATGACCTGGAGAATTTGCTGAAGAGTGGACTCCCAGGTCTTCCTCAAGGCTGAGCAAGCATAGATGGGGCCTAATAATTTAAGTTTTCAACTGGCACCTTCTGGTGATTCTGAAGGAGACATTGAAGAAACCTTTAAGAGAGCTGTAGTTTAGAGAACCTATGGGACATTTAACCTACTTCCCTTATTCCATAACTGGGAAACTGGAGGTGCTGGGGGAGAGGGTTTCCTGCCAAGATCACCCAGTTAGGTCATAGCAGAGCTGGGACTGTTCCTAGTTTCCTTCTGTTTGAGCTCATTATTATAGAGTTTATAGACACTGATAATGGGGAATATAGGAGACAGGCAGTCTGGCTCCAAAGTCCATATTCTTGACTACTGTACAATACAGCTTCTCTCAGGAAGCTGAGCTCTCAGAAGAGGAATTAAATCTGCAAAGAAATAAAGAACATTCTGGGTAACCACATGTGCAAAGGTCCTGAGGCAGGAGAGGACACAGTGCACTTGAAAATCTACAAGGCCAGCACAGCTAGAGCACGGACAACAGGGCAGAGAGATGGGGAATGAGGCTAGAAAAGAAGGAAGGAAGGGAGGGAGGAGTGAGACAGGCAGAGAGGTGGCTGATCAGACCACAGCCAGAGCAGACGAAGGGAGGGACTCCATAGACCGGGTTAAGGGATCCAGTTTTTATCATCCTAAGAACAGTAACAAGCTGGCAAAGGTTCCTAAGCAGGGCCAACTGTGGTGTGCTCAGGTGCACATTTCAAAAAGATGCCCTGGCTTCTTCAGTGTGCCAGGGTTATTGGAGAAGACAGCATGGGAGTGGGGAGCTAGCTGGGACCAGGGGGACAGTGGCCCATGGAGAAAAGCAGGCACATTTAAAAGCTCACCTTCTCTGACAAAGCCTCCTCAAGCGTTGCTAACGCAGTATCAGTATTGCTGGAGTCCGTCTGCAGGGACTTCACTCTGTCCTTCAGGTTGGTTAGCTGCTTGTCTTTATCCCTAAGCTGTTCCTGCAGGTTTTCAATCTGAAAATAAAGTTCACCATATTTAATGCATATCTTATTACATATCTAAGGCCAAGATTCCTGAAGTGGATCTGTTTTAAAAAGACCCAAGATTATGGATATTGCAAACATGAGCCGAGGTTAACACTGACTTAGAACAAAGGCCATTTTGGTCAGACTTTTATTCTTTGTTGTAATTCAACTTTGTATTTAAAAGGTGACACAGGGGAGCAGACTCTCTCCCTCTGTACAAGTGCAAGGCCTGCAGACATGCAAGCACAATCATTCATATCAATTTCTACCCCATTCACCAGCCCTTTAAGTCTCCAGTCCGTAAACCTAATCCTGGTACAGAGAATCAAGAGATATGCGGACGCAGGATTTACTCATTCCATGAACAGACATGGAAGACTGGGCACCCGTTCTGCAGCAAGTCACGTATCAGGGTATGACAGAACCTACGTGGTCATTCACTCACTCCTTTATTCAGTATTAAACTTTCTGATATGCTCAATGTTGTCAAGTGGCTGTTTCAAAGTAAGCACATGAAAAGCCAAGTAGGTTATCATCAGTAGACTGTTAATGGGAAGAACTTGTGATATCTATCAAATGTAACAAGTACTAAACACTCCATTTGGCAACTAAGTCATGTGCTGGCAAGCAACCAGCCACTTTTACCCACTATCTACAGCCTGAAATAAACACGCCAAATAGCCGATTATAATGCCTGCACAAGGGCAGCAGCAAGGACCTTCTCCTGGGCATTGCGTACATTATCATTCATGTTTTTATTCTCTGCTTTCAAACCATGTATTTCTTATCTGAGGATTTTTAAAAAGCCCCACTGTACAAACAATTTATTCGTATTAAGCGTTTTAAAATGACAAGGAAAAAAAGCAGTGCAACTCTAAGATAAGTCCATTCAAAATATTTGTCTTCTGCACCCAGACTTTAGCAGGAAATCATTCCAAATGTATGTTTCATAATGTGTGACTCAAACAAATTTGGGATTACTTGATTCCTTTAGCATGAATCTGGAATGGCAATGCAAATAATGGTGATGGTAGCATCAGTAACAAAGAGGAGAGGGTGACAGCGGAGGCGGCAGCCATACAGGCAGCACCACAGCTCTGCCTGCAGAGACAGGGAGGGACCTGCAGACCCTCGCTCGGCAGGACGGGGGGCTTGGCTGATTTTTCCAAGGGTCACAATGGATGCAGGCTGACATACATGGCCTTTTTTTCCTTCCTTCTTTCTTCCTTTCCTTCCTTTTTTTTTCTTTCTGCCGATGTATTTTTCTAATAAGACATGTTTTCTACCTTGAGACAGTCACCCTGGAAACCCAGGTTACAGTTCATCAAATGCAAATGTGCTCCCACCCGGCAACCACCATCAAGGAGAGCAGAGGAACCCAGGAGGCGCGATCACCCGTGGTCACACGCCAGGCTCCCTCCACCCCAGCCGCGTGTTCACGCGCTCCCACGCAGCCTAAGCAAACAGACCAGTGAACGAGAGCCCGAGGGGTGCATGTCAGGAGACGCGCTACATACAAGGAGCCAGCAGCTAAGAGGACTGACCATTCAGAGAGTGTGACTATTTTGAGTACACACCCACCCAGGGATACATTTGCGTATGCGCATGCGTGCAAAGCCACGGTGGTTCCAAGCACACTGGTCAGGCACCCTCTGGAGGAGACAGCGCCCTGGACAGGCATGGACCCTGGGGAAGTGGTAGGCACTGATTTCAAGGGACGTGCGGCACTGGAAATAGAGGCTAAAGAAGAGTGGGTGTGAGCCCATGCAAGACGCCCTCTGGCCTCCCGAGAAAACCGAGAAGCCTGAAGAAACTGAGGGTCAGGGTGCCCACGGGTATGCAGGTAGGAACTAAGAGCTGGAGAACTGGGGGCTGGTGATACATCTACTTATCACACATCTAAAAACCACAGACAGGATTGAATAACAGATCTGGAATTGGAGACATTTACAGATCTAGGCACGCACCACTTTAAGAAATATCTCACAAAGGTGACCAAGAATGATTCTTAATAAAGACAAGGTGTACATCACGCTGGGGAATATAGTCTCTTGTGTAAATAAAAGATAATTCTATAAATAGATATACATGTGTGGTATTGATATATAATTCTTTTCTGGAAAAACTACAAGAAATTTTAACAGTGTTTAACGTTGGGGCAAAGGGTCTGGGGTGCAGAAGGTGGAAGGTAGCTTCTGTTTTTCACTTTTGCACTTTTCTGCAGTTCTCTGCTCGCATTGTCTAGTCATGTGGGTTTTATTCATTTTTAATGCCAACTGGGATTATCTGGTTGGTGGGATTATGGGTCATTTTCAGTTTATGTTTATATATGACAGTAATAAATATCATACACATGGGTAAATAATAAATAAATAACATAGATGCCTGCTTAAAACTAAACTGTGCAAGCCACCAGCAATTACAGATTACTGGTACATTTAACCATTATCCAAGTATTTAAAATCATTTTTGCATATAATTGCTAACTAAACGGAAACAACAGAATCTTCAGGGAAAAAGAGCAAAATGCAAAGTAATATGACATTAATTCTGAAAAAAAAATTATTGCATAGAACAAAACATATTTAAAAGGATATCGCTAAAACATTAATACTTGGTAATTGGGCGACTAATGATTTTACTTTTCTTTATACTTTCCTGCATCTACCAATGTGTTTTCCTTGAAAATAATAAACAAAATAAAAGATACTTAAAACCAACTACAAAATACCAGAATGGTTCTTTAAATGTTTTGAACAATACGCTTTTCCCTTTTTAAAGGACTCATTGCAGGAGGAAATGTTCATTTGTTACTCCAAGGATTCAATTCTTAAAATTTAAATTTTAAGGACACTGGGGTAAATGCAAAATCCTCTATCTTTAAACAAAATTACTATACAGCTTTCTCATGTCCACAAATTGTTATGTACAAGAAAAACATGTTTGGAACCTTTTTCATCAAAGGGTGAGGTAGTGCAGGTTCCAGTAACAGAAATTGGAAATAAGAACACTGAAAACCAGGGTCAGGATGGGGAGTATAAAGTATTTGCAAGTATAAAGTGGGGATTTTCTGAGAAATTTCATAAGCAGTGGTAAAAGAGTACACTTAGCAAGACGCACAACTCCCCGGTTGCCTTCCACCCACCGAGGCCTGCCAACCCACCCTGCTCCTCTCCAGGACCAGGCTCTCTTCATAGCCTCTCCGTCTTTGCCCTTCCATTTCCTCTGCTTGGAGTACTCTTTCCATCTCAATTTTTCACGTAAGTCCTAATCAAACCTTTACATATCAATATATTCCTCACCTCCTCCAGGAAGTCTTCTCTGACTCATCCCAACCCCCACCCAAGGCCAGGCTAAACTTAAGCTTTTGAAATCACCTCTTTACTTGTCTGTCTCCACAACACAGCTGTGAGCTCCATTAAGACAGAAGCTCTCTCATCCCCAGGTGTATTTCTAGCCAGAGCACCCACCTATGTTGGCAATACCACACATTTAGTTCCTGAAGGGAGAAAGGACCCCTCAGGAGAGGGTCTTGAATGAAAGGGAGAGTGTACGGCAGGTGATGGCTAAACCCCTCCAGCTCTGGGATTCTACAAAGAAGAAATCAAAAGCAATGGAGAAGGTCTACATGAGGTTACAGAGTACCTAAAATATACTGAGACATCCTCACGCTTTCAAATATTACCCAAAGGTATCTTTCTGGTGGGTTTTTTCATAGAGTTCTGAAATTCAGTTACTAATAAAGTCTCTCTTCTCCATAACACACATCTCTGAAGTTTGTGTTATGCACCCCAAGGGTGTCAGTCAAAGTTATGAGCTGAAGCAAGAGAAACCACTCAGCCTGGTTTAAGGAGAGAAGAGGGGGGTTTCACGAAACCACCGGAAAGGCTGGAGAAGCAGTCGGAGGAAACAGCCGGAAGGGTACCTACAGTCATGACGCACTGGTCTCTGCAGACACTGTTGTGCCAGAGGACGGACACCAGAAACTGAGGCTTACGGCACCAGCCAAACTGGCGGAGCCTGACACCGGCACTAGTCCTGTGGCTGAGCCGCCTCATGGTCTTGACCTTGCAGTCACTGCAACAAAGACCCTCACACCCTCAACAACCCTGGGGCAGGTGAATCTAACAGGCAGGGCTAAGGAAAGGCACGCAGCCCAACTGCAAGGAAGGCTGAGAGCCCAGGTGTTGCCGTCTGCACCTTCCATCGTGAGTGCTCATTCATAAGATCAAAAAAAAATTCAGAGTATGGCAGCCCAAGAAAAGGACCCACAGCCCAACACCTAGGGAGGGCCTTGGGCCTGGCTCCTGAACCAGCAAAACAAAGCATCCTGGAGCAGGTGTTCTGAACTCTCTCTCTCAAGTTCCTAAAGACCCGTAGGGCTGAGGTTTGACTCAGACACTTGTCGAAATGTGGTCCATGCAACCTTTGGCACCAGTCTGTGATAACTACAATAGTTGAAAGTGACTGGGTATCACACAAATATTCCAGAACATGATCGATGGACTTGTCACCTTGAGCAATGCATAGACAAACGGAGGTGTTTTTGAACCCTTGTGTGACATGCAGCCAGAAATGCACAATGATCATACACAGTAGGACAACATATTGTTCCATAACAGACTGCATATTTAAAAAAAGAAATAGGTCACTTGGGAAGCATGAATCTATAGGCCTGCTGATCTCTTACAATGCTTCAGAAATCCCTTTTCTTCTCATTTTTCTTTATTGTGGTACAATACACAAGATAGAACATTTACTGTCTTACCCATTTGTAAGTGTATAGTTCAGTAGTATAAAATAACTTCATAATGTTGTGCAACCATCGTCTCCATCCATCCCCAAAATTCTTTTCACCTGGTAAAGCTCCATTAAATGATAATGTTCTGTTCGCCCATACCCTCCAGCTCCCTGGCGACCACCATTCTACTTTCTGTTTCTGATGCTGATTACTCTAGATACTTCGTGGAAGTGGAATCCTACAGTAT